CAATTAGGTGTTTGCTTATGTTTAAGGTGAGGAAACAAGAGGAATGCTATGCTTTAGTCATTTGTCCTAGAGAGATCTACCCTTGCCTCTACCTCTCAAGGGGGATGAAAAATGATTAATAGAGGCCATGATAGTGATCGTTTTGTTGCTCTCATTTTTGATGAAAAGATAAGCTTGTGTATGATTATTGTGGCAAATCAAGACACATTAAAGAGAGTTGTTGGAAACTACAAGGCCAACCTATATGAGGTAGAGGGGATCACACTAGGGGAATGACTAGGTCTCACGCGGATCTTACTTCCACCGACTCTTCAACTAGTAAGAATCTAGGACTTTCTATGGAAGAAATTGAGCCCCTTCGACATTTTAGGACATAATTGGAGCCTACCTTGACTACTGCTCTGACCTTTTACATTTTCTCACTCAGGTATTCATGCCAAGGCATATAATGCCTCTTTCTTTTCTAATAGTCCTTGGAACATTGATTCGGGGGCATTTGATCACATGATAGGTTTGCCCAATTTGTTTTCTTCTTCTAATACTTGTTCAGGCAAAGAGAAGGTTAGGGTAACAAGGTTCCATTTTAGTTTCGACATCAATGTCTTTGTCATCCGTTCTACATGTTCTTAATTTTTCTAACCACCTTTTATTAGTGTACTTTATCAGCTAGTCTTTGAATTGTAGTGTGACTTTCTTTCTTACTCATTGTGTTTTTTAGGACTTGGACGTGAAGAGAACGATTGGTAGTGGAAGTGATTATAATGATAATAATAATAATAATAATAATAATTATTATTATTATTATTATTATTAGTATTCATATAATAATAATCCGGGGAAGAGATTATTATATTGTTCATCATTATCCATAACTACTGTTAGTGTTTTTGATACTGATTGGGTATATAGTCATGGTGATAGACGATCTACTTCTGGTTATTGCACATTTGTTGGTGGTAATCTTGTTACTGGATGCAGTAAAAAGAAAAACGTAGTTATGTGTTTTAGTGGAGATTGAGTATCATGATATGGTACATACTGATTGTGAGATGTTATGAGTCTATTATTTAATTTGTGATATGGGACTTGATCTGTCTTCCCTGATGATGATGCACTGTGATAATCAAACAACTATTTTCATTGCAAGTAATTTGATATTTCATGAGGGGTTAATCTCATTTTGCACCCCGAAAGATTGTTCGAATCTCAATTTGCACCCTCAAAGATCAAAAATCTCAATTTACACCCTCAAAGATAGAAATTTGTATCAATGTGCACCCCCAAAGATCAAAAATCTCAATTTGCACCTTCAAAGATAGAAATTTATATCAATGTGCACCCCAAAGATAAAAAATCTCAATTTGCACCCTCAAAGATAGAAATTTGTATCAATGTGCACCTAAAAACTAAATTGATAAATTATACTTAAATCCCCTCATACTTGTCACTTATTCATTTAGACCTCTTCATATTTAGAATATTACTCCTACATCTTATGACATTTGTGCACATATAACATGTAACCCATTTTCATTGATATCTATTAATATAACCGTTAAAAAATATAATTTTATCCTAATAAAAAATTATAATTTCATATTACCCTTTATTTTATGGGTTTAATATATTCTAAAGTTCAAAATCTAGTTTACCATTTGAATGTCTAATAAAATATAAATATTTATATAATGTTTTTCATATTACCTTTTATATAAATATCTACATTTTATTAGACATTCAAATGGTAAGCTTGATTTTTAACTTTAGAATATATCGAATCCACAAAATAAAAGGTAATATGAAATTATAATTTTTTATTAGGATAAAATCATATTTTTTAATGATTATATTAACAGATATCAACGAAAAGTGGTTATGTGTTACACATGCACAAACGTTATGAGATGTAAGAGGAATATTCTAAATGTGAAGGAGTTCAAATGATTAAGTGACAAACATGAGGGGATCTAGGTATAATTTATCAATTTAATTTTAGGTGCACATTGATACAAATTTCTATCTTTGAGGGTGTAAATTGAGATTTTTGATCTTTGGGGGTGCAAATTGAGATTTGAACAATCTTTTAGGGTGCAAAATGAGATTAACCCTTTCATGAGAGTACCAAATACATTGAGGTAGATTGTTTTTTTATTTGAGTATCACCCTTTATATCAAGTCTGGAGATCAACTTAGTGATATTTTTACCAAATTGTTGGCTCAGTCTGTTTTCAGTAATTTATGTTTCAAGCTGAATATTTTTTATCTTTATGCTCCTACATGAGATGGAGTGTGAAGAGCTTTTTTTTTAATATATTAAACATAAGTTAATTAGTGTAGGGTATTGTTGCACCCCTTTTTGAAAAATAAAAAAATAAAAAAATTAGTGTAAGGTAATAATGTAATTACTCTAATATTACTCACTCAGTTATAAATAAGAGTGTGGGACAACCTAACCTACACGGATTATTCTCTTTTTTCTGTCTCTTTTTCTTTCTCTCTCTCTTTACCCCAAACCTTGATATCACTTTTACTATTTTAACTAAAATCATTCTTCATATCCAATTGTTATAGGCTCTAACCTAGTTTAGCTACACAGGGAAGAAGAGCATGTATGGAGTTCATCTCTGTCACAAGAGCAAAGGTCTCCTAATAATCAATGCCATAAGTTTAAGTGAACCCCTTAGTAACTAGTCAAGCTTTGAACTTGTTGACTGTCCCATCAGCTTGTTGCTTGGTCGTGATCACCCATTTGCATCCAAGTACCCTTGCCCCAATAAGAAGGGACACCCACTCCTATGTGTCATTCTTTCTTAGGGCTTTAATTTCCTTTACCATATCTTCTTAACACTTATGGTCAAAATCATCAACAACGGATTATCAATAACAGGAGCCATGGTATGAGATTGATTACTTGATAAATTAGTAGGAGATTTTGGAACTAGAGTTGGGAAATATAATTGACTCTGTGGCACATGGGTAGTCTATACCTTTTGACGACAAGGGTAAGTCTTCAGATTATCCTTGTCAAAACGAGCATCAAAGAAATCATTGGTATCACCAATAGATTGTGATTGTTTCTCTCCCCGTGACATACCATCTCTTCCTTAATAATGGTAGTCTCCCTGTGACGAGATGTTTGGAAAGTAGGAAAAAATGACTCAAATACTCAAAAAGTGACATCCATGCTAACATACACCTTCGGTGATGGTGGATGGTAGCACTTATACTCTTTCTGGTTAGCAAGAATAACCAATAAAAATACATCGCAAAGTCTTGAGGTCAAGTTTTTGCCTGGATGTTCTAAAGTCATGTACAAAACAAATACACCCAATGATTTTAGGAGGAAAGGTAGAGATGGAAGGAATGGGAAAAATCCCGCTAAGAATATTAACAAGTGACTAAACTGAAGAAGACTTCGAAGGTAGATGATTCATAAGATAAGCAGTGGTGAGAACTGCATCCCTCCAAAAAGGCGAAGGAACATTTATAGTAAACATTAATGACCAAGTAACCTCAAGAAAGTGACGATTTTTGTGTTTAGCCACACCATTCTGTTCAAAAGTATCCACACAAGCGATTTGATAAAGAATGCTATTCTCATTAAGATATGAATGAAATTGACCATCAGTGTATTCAGTTTCATTATCACTCTGGAGAATTTTTATTTTAGCATCAAATTGAGTACTTACCATTTTATGAAAAAGATTGAAAGCAAGAACACTTCACTCTTAGTGCGAAGTAAGGAAATTGAAGTAATACGAGAAAGACAATTAATGAAGGTGACAACCGACAATAACCTGAAATAGATATCACATGGGAAGGTCCCTACACAATAGAATGAACAATAGTAAAAGGAGTAGTGTTTCTAGTAATATTAATAGGATAAGATTAACGTTTACACTTTGGCAAAATTATAAGTATCACAAACAAAAAATTGCCTACTACATTGCTTTATTAGACTAAAAAAAAAATTTCTTAACACACCAAAAGAAGAATGAACCACCATTTGCCCGAAGAGCTTGGAGCGAAGAATGAGGAGCTCCAACTTCCAAAAAATATAAACCTATAGATTTGAGGCTAAACTCGAAAAACAGCCAAAATTTTTCAAAAAAAATTAAAACACAATTAAATTTCAAAAAGTTCCAAAAAATTACCATAAATCTCATGGCATCAAGTCGTGTCTTTCATGTGAATTTCAAAAATTATTGACATTGTGTCGTGCTGACATCAATAACGTCAGAGGCTATCATCAGTAACCACTTTCAAATCCGAAAAGGCCTACTATTTCCGACAACTTTAAGGTTTCAAATTTGGATCGTTGCTCATATACCAAATTAGATTGTGAAGTTTTAGGGTTTAGAGAAGAGAAAGAATCAAGAATATATCTAGGGTTGCGTGTAACACCACAAGTACTAAAATAAACACAAGTACTAAAATACCCTTATGCTAAATATAAAGCGTAACATAACAATCTGTCCCAGTGATCTTGAGCTGGCAGAGAAATCCACTAGAGCCATTTAATTCATCCCCTCCATTTTTGTTATCGTCAAAGTTTTGTCCAATAAGAACTGTTTTTTCTGTTGGTTTTGTTGGTTCCACGGCCATATTTTGATGCTGATAAGCCATTGTCACATTGAGGCATGGAAAGTCTCCAAATGGTGAGGGCGTAGTGCTTCACTTGTCAACTTGTGGCACATGGAACACTTGTCTCAGATCGGATTGAGGAATGCAGCCTTAAACTAACCTTGAGTTGGTGATTTTATTGTAAACGCTCTAGCCCATAATTTTTTTTGCCGAAGTTAGTTTGACTGCTGGCTTTATGTTTCTCTCACTTTTTTATCTGTGTATATATTTACGATATTTCTCTATTTTTGCAATTTATGTTCAGGAAAAGATTACTGTATATGCTTTGCTGTTTGGATGTAATGGTTTGCCGTGGCTAAAGAACTTGTTTCCATCTGCAGGATGAAATTCATGAAAGAGATTGCTACTCTGATCTCATGCTAGCAATTATCAGGTACCCTTGCTCTAATTTAACATTCTTTCTGTTTTATAAACATTGACACGTGTAAATATAACTGCATGGGTCATAAAGTTCTGTATAATGGATAATTTTTTGTGCACTGAATGGAATAACATTGTGCCACTTAAATCATTAGAACAAGAAGAATGTAAATAATCGATTGCTAAGCTTCATATCCAGGATCAATGGGCTTTATGGATATTTTCACAGTTGTCTGTTTAATCAAAATGAATAAAATATATTTTAGAGAAAAAATTCACAAAAAAGAAAATTAGTATTTAGCATGATTTTTACTATGTCTTGCATAATTATTTTTTGGAATATCTCTGCTGAGATTTGATTCTTTTTGCCTGCAGAGACATGCTTCCTTCATATCCTCATTTACGTCTGGTCAGTATAAATCCCTAGGTGTCTTTAAAAATTGAGTAGTATCATACTTTCCCTGACGGGTTTTTTCCTTCTCCACTCTTCTTCTTAATAATCCTCTTGACAGTTCGCTTAACCAGTCATAATCTGGCAGGTACTTATGAGTGCTACTATAGACGCTGAACGGTTTTCACAATATTTTGGTGGCTGCCCAATTATTAGAGTTCCCGGTTTCACTTATCCAGTAAGACTTTTTTCCTGATTTTCTATAGTGCCCGTACGTTGCTCTTTGTTAATTGAGATGTTGAAGTTGTTGCATTATTACTTCAGGTCAAAAGTTTCTACCTGGAGGATATCCTTTCTATCCTAAAATCAGCAGAAAGTAATCACCTTAATTCTGCTTCAACAAGTGACACGATTGAGGACTCCAAGTTAGTAGAGGATTACAGAGTTGCCCTCGATGAAGCTATTAATTTGGCTTGGTCAAATGATGAGTTTGATTCTCTCCTTGAGCTGGTCTCTTCTGAAGGGAGTCCTAAAGTACTAAATTTCCGGCATTCTTTGACTGGAGTAACACCGTTAATGGTGTTTGCTGGGAAAGGCAGAGTGAGTGATATTTGCATGCTCCTCTCTCGTGGTGCAGACATCCACTCACAAGCCAATGATGGAACGACTGCACTTGAGTGGGCTGAACGAGAGAATCAGGGAGAAGCTAATAAAATTATTAAAAAACACATTGAAAAAACCTTTTTTAACTCTGGGGAAGAAGAATCGTTCCAATGTTTACTTGATGAATACCTGTCGACTGTCAATCCTGAAGTAATTGATGTTGTCCTTATAGAGAAGTTACTGAGGAAAATATGTATCGACTCAAAGGATGGAGCCATCCTTGTTTTTCTTCCTGGTTGGGATGATATAAATAGAACACGAGACAGGTTGCTCTCTAGCCCTTTTTTTAACGACTCTTCTATGTTTGTAATCTTATCTCTTCATTCTTTGGTTCCATCTGGGGAGCAAAAGAAGGTTTTTAAACGACCCGCTCCAGGTTGCCGCAAAATTGTTCTTTCAACTAACATTGCTGAGACTGCTATCACCATTGATGATGTCATCTATGTCATAGACAGCGGAAGGATGAAAGAAAAAAGCTATGACCCTTATAATAATGTATCAACCCTGCATTCTTCTTGGATTTCGAAAGCAAGTGCAAAACAGCGAGAGGGACGTGCTGGGCGCTGCCAGCCTGGATTCTGTTATCATCTTTATTCAAAGGTTCGGGCAGCTTCATTGCCAGATTTCCAAGTACCTGAAATTAAGAGGATGCCAATTGAGGAGCTTTGTCTGCAGGTACTTGTTTCTCTACTTTGTTGCCTAATTATTTCATAGAATGTGCAAAATGGAGTTTGAAGCAATTTAAAGAATGGTGCAATGAGGCTTCGGTGGTACACCAATATACGTGCATTCTTTGTTGTTTACTATGTAGGTATAAGTATAGTTTCAAAAGGATAATAAACTCCTTTGCTCCGCCTTTTCAACTGGCTTCAGTTGACTGGTTCTCTTTCTTGAATCTTGAACTTTTAGGAGTCTTATAATTGTTGCATCATTAGATATTAGCAGAGATAATGCTTACTATTATTTTCTGCTGACAGGTGAAGCTTCTTGATCCAAATTGTAAAATACAAGATTTCTTACAAAAGACATTGGACCCTCCTGTTTTTGAAACCATACGAAATGCAATTATTATTCTGCAGGATATTGGAGCCTTGTCACTTGATGAGAAACTCACAGAACTAGGGGAGAAACTAGGTTCTCTACCAGTTCACCCACTAACAAGCAAGATGCTTTTCCTTGCCATATTATTGAACTGCCTTGATCCAGCTTTGACAATAGTTTGTGCCTCTGATTATAGAGATCCATTTACTCTTCCCATGTTACCTAATGAAAAGAAGAGAGCCACGGCTGCTAAATCTGAGTTGGCTTCATTGTATGGTGGGCATAGTGATCAACTAGCAGTAGTAGCAGCATTTGATTGCTGGAGGAATGCTAAGAAAAAGGGTCAAGAAGCACGGTTTTGTTCTCAGTACTTTGTGTCTTCAAGCACCATGAATATGCTTTCTAGATTGCGTAAGCAACTGCAATCTGAATTACTTCGGAATGGGTTTATTCCAGAAGATGTATCTCATTGTAGTCGGAATGCACAAGACCCAGGTATACTTCATGCAGTGCTTGTTGCTGGTTTGTATCCGATGGTGGGGAGATTGCTTCCACCTCTCAAAAATGGAAGGCGATCCATTGTAGAGACTGCTGGTGGTGATAAGGTGCTGCTGCACCCTCATTCAACTAACTTTAAGCTATCATTTAAGAAATCTAACGATTGCCCTTTGATCGTATATGATGAGATAACCCGTGGAGATGGGGGTTTGCATATTAGGAACTGTAGTGTCACTGGGCCGCTTCCATTGCTATTAATAGCAACTGAGATTGTAGTTGCTCCTGCTAAGGAGAATGATGATGACGATGATGAAAGTGACTATGAAGATGATGATGATGACAATAGTGATGAAGACGATCCAGATTTGCATATCGAGTCATGTGAACAGCATGGAGAGAAGATTATGTCATCTCCTGCCAATACTGTTAAGGTGTTCATTGATAGGTGGCTTTCTTTTGAGTCAACAGCACTTGATGTTGCTCAAATCTATTGCCTAAGAGAGAGACTATCTGCGGCCGTATTGTTTAAGGTAACATGAGCTTCTGCATATCGTGAAATCTTTTTTTTTCTTCTTTTTTTTTTCGTCTTGTTCTTAAGTCAATATTTCGTAGGTGAATCATCCACGGAAAGTTCTTCCTCAACTTCTTAGTGCCTCCATAAGTGCAATAGCCTGTATTCTATCTTATGACGGGCTGTTGGGGATTACATCGCCTCTGGAATCGGTTGATTCACTTGCGTCAATGGTGAGTGCAACTGAAATTGGACGGCCAGATCCTGGAAGCAGGAAAGGGATGGCTCAGAATCCAAACAGTTTTCTTAAATCACTTATTTTCCATGGTACATGTTGTAAACCTGATTCAAATTATCACAAAGGTAGGACAGCTATAGGTACTAGCTTGGCAACTTGGAATGATCAATCAAAACATCATGTCCAACCTCCTTACGCTTCAGCAAGCATGAACATATATCAAGGGTCCACATCACCTGTTGCCTATGTAGCTGGGAATGGATTGGACATGTCTGGACTGGTCAGTCCGAGGGGGGATTCTTCAAAGCGCCCTCGTGGTGACAGATCTTGACAAACAGAATCAAACTGGTCTTTCATATGAAAACAGGAAAATGGATGCAACCCCAAGTATCTGGGATTATGGCTTTGAGTTGAGTTTAGCCGGTTTGTTGATGTTGGTATTGCTGCATCTAAGTTTTGGTAGTAAAAAAATTCTCTCCATGTCGATGTCATGTGTGGGCGCAGTAGATCTGCAAACCTTGTGAGACAATTATGGATTGCCAATACCTATGAGCAAGCGTGATAGAAATAATCAACACAATAATACAATTCGTCCGGACTGTACTATAAACTAGGTTGGTTGGCATGATTTCTAGAGTAAAATTGCCAGGCATTACTGATGGACAAATGTGGCTCATGGATATCTAGTTTGCTGCTGAATTTTCGTGTGGACATCATCTTAATTCCTCGCACTGACGAGAGTAGGAGGATCGAACACATGCACCTGTGTGCTATTTATTGTAGGATAATTGTATTTTGACCCTATCAGCTATGCCCCTTGTCTTACATTGTCTCCTCAACTATTGTATCCTACCCTATTAATCAAAAGTGTTTCTCAAAGTTAAGAAAACATGAGTCATGTTACGGCACCTAAACTCTCGTTCAAAGTCTGATTTTTACCTCGTTAACATCAAACTATTCTTATTAGATGTCTAGGTGAACTTACCTTACCTAACCAGGATAGATTTCAAGCATGCAGCGTCAGTAATCATCCCGTCAACATGGTCTTGATTTAGAATGTTGGTAGTTTTGTGACCCAATGGGCTTCTCGACTGTACTTGAATCAAGACCAAATATATGTGACTCAGAATTCAATCCATACTAAAGGCCGATCAGCCACTAATTACATACTAAATATGGTGGAGGGGTGAAATTAAAGTCAATCATGTAAAACTCAGAAAATTTAATAAATCAATTAAATGGGTAGTATGGTATTAGGTCATTTAAGTAAGGTTAAAAATTTAAAATTTTATATAATTGGAATGATAAAGCGGGGTTTCTCGTTGAACCTTTTTTGCAAAAACGAGTTGGACGTAAAAATTGCATTAAATTTTGAGACAGTAAAATTTTCTATGTATTACGACGCAAAATAAGCAATCGGGTGATATGCGATTAATATTTTAACAATTGGACTTTTTTTTGGGACCAACAAGATAATTAAAATAGTCAATCAACTAACATTATTCAAGCATGATATGTGTCGTAATGTGATTGGCTCTCTAGGATTTCTAACAAATAAAAAGAGGGTATGTTGGCAAGCTCTATACTATATAAAGGGCTACATGTTCTCTTACAAATTTTGGTAGAAAGAGAGAGGCTAAGATCTTCAACCCTCTTTCTCCTTCTTTTACAAATATCTTTTAATTCAACCGTTGAATCTTTATAAACTAAGAATTAAAGTCTCTCTATACGACAAAGGCTACCTATCAACGCAAAGAGTGCCTAGTTTTCCACCATTTTTGGGTTAAGGGTTTGTGGCCAAAGCTCGTGGGAGGATTGCTTGGGCTTTTCATGGGATTTTCTTCATCACCACTTGCTTCTAAGAAGTGTGGTTCCCTTCTATCTAGTACTAAATTCCAATTTAGTGGGTGTATGTGATATTAATGCAATCTACATGTATGTTAATTGTGAGATTAACACATGGCTAGTATAGCTTGTGGTGTTCACTTGTTGATTTGATAAACATGTTGTGATCTTAATAATTACATTATTGAGTACATGAATAGTTGTTATGTGGATTATGATAAACATGCTAGGTGTATACATTCTATGCACTTTAAATATTTGATGAAATGCCGTAGTGTGGACACAGTATGCTATGTAGGCTAATTGATGCATATCACATGTTTGATAAAATACTAGAATGAGAAATATATTCTTTCTTACTATATTTGAGATTGCAAATCTATCTAAATTGTATTTGGGCATAAATAATGTGCAAGGGTTTAACACAATATTTTTAATGCATTGACATGGTAGTGTGTATTTGTGCACGGGTTGATCACTTACCACATAGGTGAGTGGGTGTGGTTTGCGAATTGGACTAAGGTCTGATTAAGTCTCACGAGAATATGCATAATAATTTGTCGGGGTATAACAAGAAAGGATAGATTTTTCGTCGGGTGCAAAACTCGATTATGTCAGTCACATACTAGCCGGTGGTGTAACAAGCCCATAAAAGTGTGTCGGTGTATGCGGAACTGGGGGTGGGATCTCCTCAAAATCTGTATCGATTTGGTAGCCCATTGGTGGAAGTCTATAAATTACCTACCCCATAAAGATAAGATATTAAGTGAAAGACCATTGGGTGAGCAACTCAATGGTGTGGGCATAAGGTTCTCGGTTGTTGAGCATGGCATCACGTGTGTTGTGGGATCCTGGGGGTGGGTTCGGGATTTGTTTTGCATGCATGAAACTTCACTTCATGTCATGACATCATTGGTAGGCATGCTTCTGCAGATGGCTCACACTTGGGCCCAACTAGATGATATAGCTGAAGTTCGAGCTCCTATTTTGACGTATAGATACTTAATCTCAATTTTAATTACTTAGAGAGCCTTTTATTTTTGAAATATATAACATACGTATATTCTTTCTCAAAGGCATTTGGAGTTATTGGTTGATGTTTAAGGCATAAGAATTGTATAAATGTTTACATTGGACCTTGGAAGGTTATTGTAATTACCTTGTTATAAGTTGTGTTTTGAGTGGAACTCTCCGTACAAAGGAGATTCTGTCAGAATTTTGGTGGAATTGGTCCACCGGGACCAAGGCTGTGACGCCCCTAAAATCGGGAGTCCTTTTTCAACCGTTGACCACCCGTCAACCCGCGAAAATACCCGTGATTATTGCACATCTCGTCATCATGTCAAAAAATCCCCTTAACCGAGATTATAACTCACACGTGAGACTTGTTTGCATTTTACTCTTTAATCCAACCATGGTCCAATGTACCCCATTTCATCCTCCATTATTGTCCAATTACATCATAGGAACTAAAGGATACATAGCCCAAAGGCATGGTGAAACAATCTTAAAATTTTCAAAATTTAGGAAAGAGTATCGGTACTGTGAGCCTTCTAGAAAATCAGTATCGGTATGGCGTGCCAGTACGCTCAGCCTTCTGGACAAGACTGTATCGATACTATTAATATCTGTATCGGTACTCAGTACCAGTACTTTTTGCCCACTTTTGCCTATTTTACCTGCTTTTCATTTCCAACTCATTCTTTAGCATATTATTTCCATCCAACTCATGTATAATGAAGTTTTTCATGTAATACAAGGTCAATACAAGTTTTATTACATTGAATTCAATGTATTTACATACCAAAATAGAATTTCACAATTGTTTTACAAAACTCAAAATAAAACCACATTCCGGCTTTCTTCACCCTTGGAGTCCCGTATGAGAGCCTTCCACCGATGTATATTCCGCACTTGAAATATTTTTCCGTATAGAGTAAGCCACACCTAGTAGAGTATTTTCTACTGAGGCTATTCCCCAACCTAAGTGCATATAAATGTTCATGTCATACTTTACAACCAACAACATACCAACCAAGAATATGTTATTCGATGTTGGAATCTTAGCAATGTCATGCCATGAAATTAGATGAGACTCACTCATGCAACTTAACCCAAGCCCTCCCTGGCTCCTTTGCCCCCATGTATGTCATGAGTATAAAAATCGGCTTTTCAAGCCCCGCCATTGGCGCTACACACCCAATGACTATTTAAAAATTTCTGGGTCTTTCTTGGGATGAGTATTTATAGACTTACACCAACGGCACCCAACCGACATAGAATTTATGGACTTCCACCAACAGTTTCGCGTACACCGACACACTTTATGGTGTGCATCTCCAATCATCGGATCTCGCACCCGAGGGATAGTCTAGCCCTTCTTGCTAATCCTGACCCAATTCGTTATCCATACCACCGTGAGACTCAGTCGAATTTTCAATACAACTATCTCGAGCCCTCCATCATCCATTTATTTGACGTTTGATATCAACCATGCACACACACACCCACACTCATGGCTATAGATGCGTTTCCCCCATGCAAATGCAATGTAATGCACCATTGCTATTCTAATGTCATGCCCATATGTAAAGAATGCCACATGAGCAAAATTAATAACATATAAACATATACCATGGAAAATTATATCCAAAGCATAAATCAACATTTTTATGTCTAACCATACATCACAAGCGTGTTATTACATATTATATGTCAATAACACACTCTATTCACAAGGCATAATAAAAGCATATAGCATGCCCACATAACACCAATTTTCATGGAATTACACAAGGAATTACTACATACCAATTCCATGTTAGGAATTTATTTTAAACCATTCTATATCCATTTTCATACCCATTTCATCAATTTCACCAACATAGGTAAATGATATATGTTTCTATCAACATACCCATTTCATATAACCACCCTAGGTTGTAAATAAATCTAAGTAGGAAGGAACTCTACCTCTCGAAGCGTAAAGACAAGCCTTGAGAAGCTCCAAGGACCCACTTGTAGCTCAAAGCCCTAGCTTTCTAAAAATCTTGTTCTTTGCTCTTCGATAAAACTCTCGCTTCTTGTTATAGCCGCGTAGCCCTCGACGAGAGGAACAACTTTTCCTCTTGGCTTGGGTTGGTTTGAGCAACCAATCCTTTGGATCTTAGACATAAGGTGTAGAGAACTTAGGTTTTCCCTCTTCTCTTTTCTATCATTTAACCGGCTGAACAAAAAATGGGGAAAATCAGATTTTTCCCCTTTTTTATACCCCCCATTTATTTGGCTCACATTGTGCCACACGACCCTCTTTTTTTCGGGTCCGTTTTCGTCCTGAAACGATTAAATTTTGCTCTGGTTCAAGTTCAAAATATTTTTATTTTAGCTTGTCTTAAATTATTTTCTAATTTTCAAAATTTTTATTAAAAATCCCATTTTTGGGTCACTTGAGACGAATCCAACGGTGAGGTCCGTTTCTTCATCCGAGTTCTAAAAAATTTTAAGTTCCCCGTACTATAGTGGAAAATTACCATTTTGCCATTTTTCTTAAAAGGTTTAAATTTATCTGAGTTTTACAAAGGCCTTAAATAAATTAATTAGGGTTAATGAGTAATAAGGACCCCTAGGAATTGGAGCCATTTGGTATTAGAGCCTAGGTTCTCGATTACCTTAGGACTTGAGGGTAGATTACACTAGGCTATTGCATCCATGTTCATTGCATATTATGTGTTAGGTGCTAAGTATGTGAATATATGTGTGTTGAGTATGAGGAATGGGAAAAACTAGGGAAAAAAGTCATAGCCGTGAAGATGGAAAAGAAGAAGGAAAGAAAACAAGGATGAACCGGTAGGAATCAGGACATGCCCTACTGATAGGTTTGCTTTTGTGCTTGGCCTACCAGTAGGTCAATAAGAACAAAACGGTAGGAGGGCTTTCTGAATTGAATCTACTAGTAGGATGGACATGAATCTACTGGTAACTTAACCCTTGCTTGTCACTTTTTAATGAATCACTTCTTCTCAAGATATAACAATGGCTTCCCAAGCGTAAGAAAAAT